CATGCCGTTGCTACTGAACAGCGCAAGGATCAATGGATTGCCTCACTGATAGACTTGCTGACTGATCCATCCACTCCATCCACTCGCGCGTTGCGTCGTCAAGCCCACCATTTCGCCGTTCGCGACGACCTTCTCCACCGACGCAATTACAACGGTGACGGCCGCCAGTGGCTACTAGTCATACCCCGCAGTCTGCGCTCTGACATATGCGAATTCTTTCATACTGATCAGCAATGTGCGCACTCCGGGGTATCGAAGACTTACCAGCGCATTCGCCAACGGTACTTTTGGCGCGGCATGTACCGCTATGTGCAGAAATTCGTTCGCTCCTGCATAGAATGTCAGCGCCGAAAAACTTCAACGCACCTGTCGCCGGTAGGTCTGCAACCTCTACCTTCCCTGCCAGGCCGTTTGGGCGCGTTGGCATCGATTTGTATGGACCACTTCCACTAACGTCGGCTGGTAACCGCTGGGCCATTGTTGCTGTGGACCACCTCACGCGATACGCCGAAACTGCCGCTCTCCCCGCGGCTACAGCGAGAGATGTGGCCTCCTTCCTGCTCCAACGATTCATGCTGCGACACGGTCCACCTCAGGAACTGCTCAGTGTTCGAGACCGCGTCTTCGTGTCTGAAGTCGTCGAAGCCATTCTCAAAGAGTGCAACGTTGTTCACCGCAAAACTGCTGCTTACCACCCGCAGACGAATGGCCTCACTGAACGCTTAAACTGTACGCTCGGCGACATGCTCTCCAAGTACGTCGCCGCCGATCACACAAATTGGGATTCCATTCTACCCTTCGTCACCTACGCATATAACACCGCCCCTCAGAGCACTACTGGCTTTTCACTTTTCTATTTATTATATGGAAGGCACCTGCCGCACACCATCGACACTATACTTCCGTACAAGCCAGATCCGTCAGAATGGGTGCCTATTTCTGCTACAGCCAAGCTTGCTGAAGAGTGTCGAGAGCTTGCAAGGACCTTTACAGCGCATGATCAAGAGCAGAAAAAAGGCATTCGCGCTGACACCAGCACTACTGCGCCCACGTTCCTCCCTGGAGCGCTTGTCTGGCTCTCGATACCTACCACTTCAACTGGCCTATCTTCAAAACTATTGCCCAAATACGAAGGCCCCTACCGTGTCGTCGAACGCACTTCCCCTGTAAATTACTTGATCGAACCCATCGAACCATCTTCGGACATGCGGCGTCGAGGGCGCGACATTGTCAACGTGGAGCGCCTCAAAGCCCAGCACGACCCGCTCATAGTAACCAGCTGTTAGGTCGCCAGGCGGCTCCCTCTTCGTACCCGGGGTAGTTGTGGTGAAGCCTTCGAACAGTGGGTCGTTCTCTCCAGCGCCTTCTAGTGGGCTGCCCTTTTTAGCAAAAAGAAGAGCAGCTCGTGCAGAGAGTCGGTACCCGCATTGACTGTCGCTGTCAAGCATCGTCGACAAGTGTCCGCCAATAAACGTCTCAACATTGTCTATAACTTTAAAAACTATCCCCCAAAAATTTTGGGCAGTTATAAACTTACAACTAGCCCAGGACACTATGCTCACAAACGCTAGAGATGAAGTTGTAAGCAACGCTGATTGTGCCGATACCTTTTAACATCGCATTCTCATCCGCGTTCACTAAAGACGACGCACATCTTCCTAATCCATGCTCTATGACATTTGAAACGATGACCCTGGTTGCATTTACTATTGCTGGCATTTCATCACTTATTGTTAAAATGAAACTTTCATCATCATATGGTGTATACAATAGGAATTCCAAACTGTTAAAAAATACTAAAGAAATCATCGCAATGTATTTATCCATGCTCTTCTCACTGTCACTAGGAACAGGAATCTTACCAGACGACTGGAAGGAGGCAAAGGTGATTCCAGTCCGCAAATCAAGTAACAAACAATCTCCCTTAAATTATCGACCCATTTCTCGCACAAGCGTCCCATGAAAAATCATGGAACATGTCATATACTCTCACATCATGCACTTTCTTGACACCAGGAATTTCTTTCACCTCCCCCCCCCCCCCCAGCACGAATTTCATAAATCCTTATCCTGTGAAAACCAACTTGCTATATTCGTTCATGATCTACACTATAACCTCGATCATGACTTTCGGACAGATGCAATCTTTTTCGACTTCGCAAAAGCTTTCGATAAAGTACCTCATGAACATCTACCCTCAGACCTCAATATAACGAACCCAGATATGACCACATGCCTGTTGTAATGAAGTAAATAAAAAATAGTCTTGCGATAGATACAGTGTTAAGAATAAATCTTTCATACGAATTTTCAGATATAAAAAACTTATTTGCATGTAAGATGCAACTTTGTTATAATGAGGTTTGAGTGTATTACTAAAACTTGCCCAGCTGAACCTGCACCCCAACTTTCTCGCATGGATCACAGAATTTTTTACACACCGCTTCCAGTTTGTCTCAATTATTAATAACCATTTTACATTCCTCCCAGTAACATCCGGTGGTTTTGTACCACCGGATGTTACATCCAAGGGTTTGTACTCGCGCCCCTCTTGTTCCTTATATTAACAACCTTCCCATCCCTGAGTCGTCTCATATCCATTCATTTGGAGACAACAGCATCATTTATCGAACAATTACAAACATTTCTGATCAAACTGCTCTCCAACAGGGCACAAAAGGCAACTAGCAAGTTGACGATTGTTGAAATAGCGGTACAGAAACCTCGTAGTGTTACTTTTGTGCCCAGGAAGTGCTTATTTTAAAATAAAATCAGGTTTTAGTGGTCCACATCGAGTTAGCGGACCTCAAATTGCTCGCCAGATCATCTCACGTCACTGTTGCCGTGCACAATGTTGGCCGGCTTTAGTGCACGGCTACCAACACAAGTAGAAGCAGAACAAAAGCAGCGGGAGCCACAGTAGAAACAACGGATGCCATTTGCTCCAAGGTGGCAGAGGCGTTTTGCTTCAACTGGGCCTCGCTAGATGGCCCGACCTGTCCAGTTTAGCCAGGCCAAAAGTGAATTTTTGAACCACTCATACCATTCCCCATAGTAACATACGGCGGTTATTTTTTCCATGAATCAAACAGAAACGAACAAGCAGCATGTTATTACGTCTTTTGATAAACGGAAGGTTCTTCATATAGTGCATCTAGTTCGATTACTAGTGATTAATTGTAGGTGGTTCATCTGACATCATCGAGATCATTTTCAGAATGCCCTTTCGTAGCGCATGAGTTCACGTGCATTCACCTTGATTTCTCGGTAAGTAAGGCACTGCTGTTGATAATATTGTCATTTTAGAGGTCTTCGTACATCGAGCTTTCACTCTCACGTAAATTGTTTATGTAAATTGTTTTTTGACTTTAGTATCCCTTTAATGTTGTGCAAGAGCGGCGTGATCTTCGGCTCATGAAGCTTAATTCCATTAAATGCAAACTCGTTTCATTTCATCGCCAGCATCACCCTTTCTGTAATACTCTCTGTCACACATTCTGTAACTCTCTGAAACCCACATTTGTTAACCCTCCCCTTATGCAATACCCCTTAACCGGGGTCTTTAAAGTATTAAAGTGAAAGTGATGACATAATAGCACATGCGAAAGATTTTAAAAGAAAGATACTATCAACCACAGCAACTGGGCACCGACTGTGTTTCACTTGGGCTCAGTTGTCATTGTTGCTTGTACCGCGGGAATTGATGGTTTGATTGCACGTTTCGGTGAAGAAGGTGGTGACTACACGAATTAGCTGCCGGTGTCTCACTTCTGCAGCCGGAGCATAAGTCGTGCTCCCCCACTTCAGTTCACCGTATACCTATACGTCTTGCCCAGTCATATTGTTGGCCAAAATGGTTTCCGATTACCTCTCGGTTTGACTTTGTGTCATGGATCTGTGGCAAATTGTGTAAAACGGCTGTATTTATATTCTAAAAGCACTTTTTAGTGAAAAGGTTATTTTTGAAGCTCATGAATGTTACATGCAAGTCTTAATAGATCTTTATTTTTTCTGAAGTCATGATTGATTGATCGATTTGTGGGGTTTAACGTCCCAAAACCACCATATGATTATGAGAGACGCCGTAGTGGAGGGCTCCGGAAATTTCGACCACCTGGGGTTCTTTAACGTGCACCCAAATCTGAGCACACGGGCCTACAACATTTCCGCCTCCATCGGAAATGCAGCCGCCGCAGCCGGGATTCGATCCCGCGACCTGCGGGTCAGCAGCCTAGTACCTTAGCCACTAGACCACCGCGGCGGGGCTTCTGAAGTCATGTTCATCATTTTGAAATGACATCTGTTTTCAACGTATGACAGCACACAGGTAAAATGGCATTAAGTTCACTTAATGCTATTTGCTGTAAATTAAATTAGGTTTGCCGTGTGACAGGGGTATTACTCCACACCATCAAAAAGGGAACATTGCACTTTTATCTTCCTTGCAGCACTACTACTTGCAAAATTGTTAGTATCATGTAGTCAACCACACCACAGAATAGACATATTTGTGGACGCAATATGCTATCAGCATTCCAATTGTACTAGTTGCTGGGTGTAGCCAGTGGTGGTGCCCCATAAGTACACACAAGGCAGATATGCTTGTACCAGTTGGTTAAGTTTGATCACAAAAAGGGAGTCATGCAAGCAAGGACATAAGAGAAAAATACAGCATGATGGCAGTCACATGCACATCTCAGTGAGAAGGTACTGGGACACAGACATCGGCACCACTGTTTCTTTTGTGTACTGTAATCTAGCTGCTGTAAAGGGACACAGATGAGCGCTGTATATAGAGTATTGCAATACTATTGCAATATATTGGTCTGTACCATCTCTGGCATCTGGATCAGATTACTTGATAGAGGCAGCCTATGTTGTAAATTCATTCACATTGCTTTGGTCTATGACTGTACATACTGGTTTACGCACAGTGCCTGCTAGTTGATCACACACTCATGGGCCATGTCCCAAAACTCTAGACCTCATTTTGCCCTCACCTTCACACTTGAGTGCACTGCTCAACAATTCACGGCACTTGAGCCGCACAGCATTGGTGGTGTCAGCAGGGAAAGAAGTTTGCTTGGCATTGGGCCTGCCAGAGGCTGCTGTTGACTGCTTGGCTGACGCACTCGGCTTGGGCTCGGGCTCCTTGGCTGGGGCCTCCTTGGAGCTGGGTGTCCCCGAGAGTAACTTCTTCCAGCTTTTGATGAGAACTTTGGCCAACGTGATCACTTCCTCGTCGTTACTTGACTTGCGCAATGAGTTGACTGTCATGCCAATGCGTGTCCTCTGAAAAAAAAAAAAAAAGGAGGGACCTAGATTGGCACCTACCTCATAAAACTTCAGGCTGGTGCAGCTGGAGGTCCATGGCAAAAAAAAGAATACATCACAAGACACTACTACGTGAAACTCTTACAAACACAAATATAATCAAGCCCTTCTTTGCCTACAGTGTGCCTAGCATAGCCCTCTTCGGACAACCTTGAACCAGGTGGACCTTCGAGTCTTTTAGCAACAAAGGCACACGAACCAATTGCCACCACACGTTACTGGCCCAGAAAGCAGTCAGGGAATTGGTATAATACCACAAGTTGATAGCACCCAGTGACCATATAAAGATTTGATGCGTGAGCAACTGTATTTTTTTTTACCCTTTCCTTTTCTATTCTCGTTTCCCAAGATGCAAGACGCAAGTGGACATGTGTGTACTTAACCTCTCTACTTTTGCTTTTTTTCACTTTGAAATTAAATTATATGAAATTAAATTATATGAATTTCCACTTTCAAAAGATATGTGGTTTGATCAAACTCTTACATTATTCTCGCACTGCGTCCCTCAACAACGTGTAAAAATAAACGGATGGAGATAATCACGAAACAGCATGGTTCTTCGAAGAGAAATCGCTTAAGAAGCAGCGTTACCTGGAGGATCTCCAGCGTGATTGGCAGCTCTTGAAGATTCTTGAGGAGATCCAAAGCCTGCGTCTGGTCCTGCACGACGGAAATTAACGACTAAAAACTTCCACGCAAAATCTTAATGCTTCCCACCGTCGCCTGTTGCAACTGAAGAGTATATAGAGAAGCACATCGCGCATGCTTAAGCTGGCAAATACGCTCTCGAATTATCGGCGACAGCGCCGCTGATCGTGGCGCCTGAACAGATTCACAAACGCTATCCCATTAGCCACGACCAGCGCTACGGGTCTAATAACAAGCGCCGACCGCGCGGCAGTGAAGGGCTGCCGGCGAAGCACAACGAGATGCACTTACGTCGCTGGACCCAGAGGCCATTTTGTCCAAGCGCTTAGCGATCTTCATTACCTCGTCTTCGCAGCCCATTTTTCTCTCGGTGGTATTAGTTGACAGAGTTATTTTGCAACACAACTTCAACCACGACTAACCCTCCATGCAACAGCAGCGAAAGCGCTGGCTTTTCGGTCAAAAGCTGCAGGGGGTTGTGGGATTAATGAAGAAAATAGGTTCGGATAGTTTTGCCCGAGAATTCCCCTAGTGCAACTTGGTTATTATTCCGAATTCTAGACGTGCTCCGCTCTTTCAATATTTTCACCACAATCCAAAATTTTTTTATGCTTTTCTTGATAACTAATTTGAGTAAAATGTAAAGCATAAAAAATAATTATTAATTTGCAGTTTTTGCAATATAGCGTTTTTTTCTTTCTTGCTGTTACGTAGCAAGTGAACAGTTCACTTTGATCGCAACATTTCACAACAAAGTGTACACCGAGTGCACCACGGGAGTGCACTTTGGTGATAGTGGAGTGAACGAATAAACGAGTAGACCCTTCTTTGGTGGCGCCAGTGGCGCACCCTGCTGTTGGTGGGTGGTGGTGGTGGTCGTGCGGATAACGAGGATGCATACATGCTAGCCGATCGTAGGGGCCTGGCCTGAACGGCGCCCGCCGGGTTTGTCGCAATGCTGAATAGCTTGTAAGTTTACTCCTCGATTAAAGTAGCTCAGATTCGTTATGGAAGCCCTGATTCCTGTCATCAACAAGCTCCAAGATGTATTCAACACCATCGGTGCCGACGCACTTCAGCTACCTCAAATCGTGGTCGTGGGCGCTCAGGTGAGTGAGGCACGGTGCGCTGTGTGCGTGCTCGCGGCCCACCGACGTTTTCTTCGCAGAGTTCGGGCAAGAGCTCCGTCTTGGAAAGCCTGGTGGGCAGGGACTTCCTGCCGCGTGGTTCGGGCATCGTGACCCGTCGACCTCTGGTGCTTCAGTTGGTTTACGTCTCCAAGGACGACGTCCAGCACCGCTCCGCCGATGAAGGCACGTTGCAACTCGAAGAGTGGGCCAAGTTCTTGCACACGAAGAACAAAATCTACACGGACTTTGACACTGTCAGGGAGGAGATCGAAGCGGAGACCGACCGCATGAGCGGGACCAACAAGGTACGCGCCGACAGTTTAGGCTCTCTCATTCATTCGCGTGTGGCGCTCTCCGACCCGGTGAATCACTGCGATCGCTTATCTTAGTCAGCTGGCGGGATCGTGGGCCTTTACGCTGAGTTCATAGCTTGTAAAAATGCCGGGGCTAGTTTGATTTCAGTGGCAAATATTAAGTTACTTAACTCCGCCTGAATATTGACGCGGTTAGAGATTGTTTACTTTCCACACTAACCAGATTCATTTCTCTTGCATTGAAAATCAAAACAAGCAGATTGAGGACATGGTTGTTTTAATCTTGCTAGACTGCTCAATCCTTAAACCAAGTACACTCGGAAAGACTCAACGCAGGGAGTGCACCCACAGTTAGTCACCTTTGAGCATACTGCTTTCATTGCGCATTCATAGGTTTAGCCAGCAAAAGTGGTAGTGGAGAACTTGTGCATTGCATAAAATGAAACCTTCCCCAAAAGCGATTGGTAGAAAGCCTTGCCATCTTGCGGGTTTCAAGAGAACTGACAGAATCGTTGATGTGTTCTACAGGGAATCTGCCCCGAGCCCATCAGCCTGAAGATATTCTCCAGTCGTGTGGTGAACCTAGCACTTGTGGACTTACCGGGATTGACCAAAGTGCCTGTGGGAGACCAACCCGATGACATTGAGCAACAGGTTCGCACTCTCATCCTGCACTACATCAGTAACCCGAACTCGCTCATCCTGGCTGTCACTGCTGCCAATACAGACTTTGCCACCTCTGAGGCACTCAAGCTGGCACGTGAAGTGGACCCAGATGGTACGTTTTGCTCTACTTCACTTCAACACTTTCTCCTTTGCTGCATAGTTTCCAATCTCCCAGAATGTACGAATGTATGACATATTGCTCTATACGTAACTTGCAACTGCGGTCACACCGCAGAACTCTGGGATATGATCTTAGCATGTGCTGCCATAACTTCACACATGGCAGTAGATGGCATAATCTACTCAACGATTCTTCTTTGTCATACATAAGTAAAGTAAATGATTAAAAACGCACACTATTCCGAATGGTTCGCTGCACGAACGTTAACGCAGTGTGGTCCCTGTGACGTGCTTGCTTCGTGAGCTCTGTGGTGGCAGACGGAAAAGAACTGGTGTCACTTGCAAGTTATGTATAAAATTATTTGTTAAAGATAATTGTTACACATCTGACCATTGAAGCAAAACTGCGATTCGGCCTAGTTGGAACATATTTATCTTGGAAGTGTGTCTGTGCAAATACTTTAAGACGAATCTGACCATTAATTAGCACCCTAGTGCACTGCATGTCACAGCATTCCAATTTTTTAACAAGCTCGTACAGCATAGACTGTAAGTATAGCACATCCATGTACTGCATTCACTTATATTTCTGAGTTAGTCATCTGATATTTGATTATCTGTCAAACTTTAAGCAAGTGTAATTCTGTACGCTTCAATCTGTGGTTATCGCTACGTAGCCACACATGCCTATCTTTCTTCACACATAATGCCCCGCATCTTGGAGCCTATGAAGTTGAGCAGGTAACTTAAAATTAAGAAATGTGTGGTAACTCAGTGTACCAGGAATCTTCAAATGATGTCGGTAGCTAAAACAGCATAGGCAACTCTTACGAGACTCTCTGGATAGCTTTACATTATTTAGCACACAATACAAGTGAGAGAACCGCTGGTCATTAAGCATCACAGACTGGATTCCAGGGGAAGGCAAGTGGGTGAAAGTGAGACAGAAACTTAGGTGGGCAGATGAGATTAGGAAGTTTGCGGGTATAAAGTGGTAGCATCAAGCACAGGACCGAATTGACTAGTGGAACATGGGAGAGTCTTTTGTCCTGTATTGGGTGTAGTGAGGCTGCTACTGCTGATGATAAGTGAGATCATTTTGTGAGGTTGGGTTGGCTCGTATTCTGTGTGCAGAAGAGCCTTGTAGCAGCTGTTATGATGCCTTCTGCCCACCGATACTGTCTACATAGGTTTAAAGGAAGTTTTTGTGTTGACATGTGTGTGCAGGCCGCCGGACACTGGCAGTGATTACCAAACTAGATCTGATGGATGCGGGTACAGATGCAATGGATGTGCTGTGCGGCCGGGTGATTCCTGTGAAGTTAGGCATAATAGGTGTGGTGAACCGGTCGCAGCAAGACATCAAGGACCACAAGCCAATTGCAGATGCGTTGCGTGACGAGGCACTGTTCCTTCAGCGCAAGTATCCTGCCCTGGCAGCACGCAATGGCACCGAGTACTTGGCCAAGACACTTAACCGTCTGCTTATGCACCATATTCGCGACTGCCTGCCAGAGCTGAAGACTCGCGTCAATGTCATGATTTCCCAGTTCCAGTCCCTGCTGAGCTCATATGGTGAAGCCGTCCAAGATCAGGTAATGAGCCACAGCCTTCTGCACTATCATTTTGCAGATTTTCTATACCCTAAAATCCCAAACAAGTCCCCCCCCCCCCCTTTTTTTTTTGTGAGACTTCATACATGCACTAATGGCCAAGCAAACACTCTATATTTGAAGTTTTTATTCACGTGTCAAGGGTGATTAAAGTATGCAGAGTGCATATTCAATAAAGCATTTCATTAGAAGCACGATTGCGCATTATTCATTCTTAGCGGCTGTTCCACTGCCACATTAAAGTTTTATCGTTTTATCCACGACCTATCAGCCTCCCAGCCCCCTCCGGATCTTGTGAAATTATTCATATGAAAGGATGCTTGCTTGGGATTTTACAATACTGTGTTTCTAGATCCAGTGGTAATACTATGTTCTGTGGCATAGCATATATATGCAGCTTTCAGGGTTTTCATTGTTTCATTTTTGTAGAAAGTACGAATCAGTTTTGTTCTAAAGGTCCCTTGTTTCATTTTTGTAGAAAGTACGAATAAGTGCTGTTCTAAAGGTCCCTGTAACATTAAGGTGTCAACACGGACTTAAACCACATTTATCACATTTATCTTTCTCATGTCGCATGCATCCAGAACTCGAAAGTGGTTTATGCATTTATGTGTGAAACTATCTTGGGGCAATTTTCCTTGCAATCTGTGCTGTGAGTTCACTTAGTTCACTTCAGTGAAATCAGTAAGTTCACTTTTTAACACTTTGTCTGGCATTACAGACTACAATGCTGTCAAATATAGAAAAGTTGACTATTAGTTGAAAAGTTGGGAGCTGTGTGCACTGTTTTCTGAAATTGCAATGCCTGAAACATTTTTATTATGCCTAGCTTATGAATTGCTGGCCCTGCATATAGGAAGGCAGGCTCCATAGCATTGTTAATAACACTAGAAAGCTGCTGGCACTTTTAAGATCAGTACATGTACAAGTGAAAACAAAACGAAAAACACTGGATCCTGCACTCAAATAACACATTCCTGGACATTTCAACATTATTACATGTTCTATGTTTATAAATATACACCAAGAAACCGTTTGATGGGATACGATGGCCAACATTGCATTTTCAGAAAGAAAACATTCAGTTGTTGGCCAGTGCATGCAGCTGAGAGTTTATGCTGGAATTTCAACTGTGTTGAAAAGCAACTCGCTGATTCGCCTTCTTAACAACACTTCTGGCTTTATTTTCTGCTTGTGTAGGGCCAGACACTTCTTCAAATCATCACCAAGTTTGCATCATCGTACTGTGCTACCATTGAAGGCACGGCACGGAATATTGAGACCACCGAGCTGTGTGGGGGTGCTCGTATCTGCTATATTTTCCATGAGACCTTTGGCCGTACCTTGGATTCTATCCACCCCTTGGGGGGCCTCAGCACTCTCGACATTCTCACTGCCATTCGCAATGCAACGGTAGGAGCTGCAAGTGTTCGAAATGCATGCATGACTGTCCACATCTAAGGCAAAGCATCTGTTGTGTGGAATATTCTATTCGTATCTTTGCATAGGTGGTAAACCTCCCAAAGGACATATAGTGCATACAATATACTGCATAAATCAGTACGTCTTGCTGTAGTGCAGGGCTGCATGTGCCAAAATTTTGCGCTTCGCAGATGGAGTGTTTAGTTCAA